TTTTTTTTTTTTTTTCTGGTTCAAATGCCTATCCTATATGAAATTCTTTCAGCAGTATAGGCGTTGTTGTTTGTTTATTTGGTTTCTATGCCTTTAATCTTCAGTATTATCTAGTCTATTTTGACATAAAGTCATGGTATGTAGGTATATTGGCCACCTCAAGGAAAGGACTCTAAAGGATCAAATGGTCAAAGACCCTACTGAAGTCATTCGCAAAGCTGTTCTGCGTATGCTGCCTAGAAACAAATTACGTGATGTAAGTGCTACCTAAACCTATGTTTTTGGGAATTTTGAGAGATGGAGTTTCATTACTACTGTGCACTTGTCCAGAATGAAAGAGGCCTATTCGTGTTTGGTTTGGATATTGCAAGGGTAAATCCAATTTGAGACAAAAAGGAAAGACCCTTGAACAATATATAATTACATTTTAAGGATGGTAAGTTATATTCCAGAATTGATTCCTTCTGTGGGAATCAAATCACACGGAAGTGACTAATGGATAGCTGTTGTGGCGCACAAACTTTTGAGGTTCAACTCCAACCGTTTTCCAAAAGATCCCTACACAACATTATAAATTTATTTTACAAAGGGGGCATTCCATGATTTAAAAAACTTCTCTCTACAATTATACTTCCAGAATAATTGTTATTATAAAAACCCAAACAAATTCAAAACTTAAAAAATATATTCTTTCAGCACCAGTTTTTTCAATCTTAATTTTTACCCAAATAGTCTCGTTATCATTTGAAGCTGAAGTGCAATTCAAAAGATTGGAAAAAAATGACAATTGAATATTATGGCATTGTATCATTATAAAATCACAATCATGTTTAGCATTGAACCTTATCTACTGAAAGAATCACTATGTTTCACAACTGTAGACAGCAATCCAGATTTTGGAGTACGAGATAAGAACTATTCATCGTATGTTACTGAAATGAGTGATCTTATCATCTTGGAAAATGTTTCCAAAACCTTAAAAGAAGTGTGATGAAAAAGAGCATATCAATGTTGTAATTAAAATTCCTTTTGATTTTGAATGAACTTAATTTTTTGTATGGGGGATAATAGAAAGGTTAGTAAATACAGGATGGAGGCATTTCAAGGTTAGGGCATGTCACAAACCTTAATAATGGCTTACAATGGTATGTACACATGACCTACCAATGAAAGTGCATCAGAAGGAATTGAACCCATGACCTTTCCTGCTGTCTTTGATGATGTTTTATCTGCTACTAGTAGGGCCAGGTGCCAACCCCTGTTGACTTGATGAACTGTTCCTTCTATTAATTTATCACTTAATCCATCAGTATTTCCTTAGTAATTAGAACTTTACTAGCACTTGGATTCTGAAAGAGAGGAGAAGATTGGGGAACGGTGTTGTTAGTGTATATAAAAATGTACTAGGTCATTGTCATAAATGTCCAGATATGAAGTATGAACGACTTTTTGCTAAAGGACTAATGGCTTGTGGTTTTCAATTATTTTTATTTTCATTTTGTTAGAGCTTGATTTTTATATTTTGTTCCTAATAGTATTAAACTGATCTTCTAAATTGCATTTTCTTGCATTATTGCTAATGGATATAGGACAGAGATCGAAAATTAAGGATCTTTCCTGGCAGTGAGCACCCTTTTGGTGATCGGCCACTTGAACCTTATGTGATGCCTCCTAGAAGTGTCCGGGAAATGAGGCCACGAGCTAGGCGCGCCATGATTCGAGCACAGAAGAAGGCTGAGCAGCAACAACAGAAGGCTGACATGAAGAACGGCAAAAATGGAAAGGTACAGGAAGAAAGTGCATGAAGACATAATTTTGTTCAGAGAAGATGGCACTGACCATTGGTTATCATTGAAATGGAAAGCCATCTGTGTTTTTGTTAGCAAATCCTGCAATGCCATATTGAGCTGTGTTTGAAAGTTCTTTATTTTACAAGTCTTTCAGTAAGAGCATAGCTCAAGAGCATGACTTATTCAGATTATAGCCATTTCTTGCATCCTTTTCAGTGAGAGTTCTTTTAAGTTCAATTTCAGAAGTTTAGACTAACTGACAGACTACCATTTTGGTAATTTATTTCAATAAGTTCTCCAAGATAGTTTACGAAAACAACTTATAGTTTATATATATAAAAAATACAGATTAATACCATTTTCCTATTGATTATAAAAAGAGTTAATTATCCACACATTGTCAGTGTAAAGTTTTTTATATTGACAACTAAGCATATCTTTAAAATTATTTTATTTTATTTTTATTTAATTAAATAAGTAAATGACATGACATAATTAAAAGATATGATTGATTGTCAATGTAAATAAATGTAAATAAATTTTATATTGATAGTATACGAGTGATTAACTCTTATAAAAAAAATAACTTATACTTGAACATTTTTATAATAAGTACTTAAGATGGTTGTCAATAAGATATTAAGATGGTTATCAATAAGATATTAATTAATATGTATATTTAAATGAGTCTTTATATTATTTACTTGGCTTTTATCACTTAGAAACTTAGAGAGATTTCAACAAAAACTTAATATTTTCTGCCGCATTAATTCAGCTATCTTAACATGCTTAATGATCTTTGTAGCGGAACTTCTCGATTAGATTATGCTGAAATTACTTTAACACGTGCAGTTTATGAATAAAAGTATTATGGATAGGACATTTTCATGCTTACCTTAACAGATTCAAGTTTGTGGATGGAATTGAAATTGAGGTCCGGCTGTCTGTCACAACCAAGCTAATTATTTTACCAATACAGTTGCATCTTTTAGAATTATATAATTGATGAATGGTTGATATCGATGGCAGAGATTGAGTTGTTACTTATTATATCATAGATGGATTACCAACAAGATTAAACTCGTTCACCATTTCAACTCTTAGGATGTAGCTAAATTGAAATACAAATATGAATAATGGCTGGAGGAAGTCGCATAGTAACATGAAACTATATCATGTGATAAGAAAAAAAAAGTATAGTTTGACAGAAATAGATTGAGTTGTGATATTGAAAAATTAATGTTAAAAGTATCTTTGTAATTGATTTTAATCTATTTTGTAATATTGAATTTTGATTTATTGTTTTTATAACATTATAAGCATGAATATTTAATGTAATATACTTTTTATATATAAAAGAGACATACTTTAAGTTTTACCCATCGTTAGGAGTTTAAATATGAAGTCAGAGATAAATTTGGGGAGCGAATAATTTTCTCTTGACTTTTTGAAAAAAATATACTATTATAAAATAATTTATCATAATAAATATGAAAAAATGTTTTTCACTCACCTTTTCTTCAATTTTTCCTTGTTCAACAATACAAAGTGACTTATACATTGCATAAATACATCAAGTTTTTCACTGACGTCATTCCTTTCCCTTTTCACATGCACATAGTTCACAAGAAAAAAAAAATTACACACCTTCACCCTTAATTATAGTCATGAGTAGCCCGTCTAAGTTACAATCCCCTTGGACAAGGTGACTTATAAACACTTCAATTTTTTTCACTCACTACACATCATTCATTTCCTTTTTCAAACTAAAAAAAAAAACTAGTGGCCCAATTATCGGGTCCAATAGTCCATCACATTGGGGGGTAGGGGCTCTTCACTCGTGACTCGTGAGAGAAAAGAAAATTGAACAAGTGTTAGGGCTTGCCGGCTTTCGATTTCTTCTGTCTCCGTCCTCCGCGCTCTTTTATTCGTTACCCACCATTCCAGATTAATAAAAAGGCAATATTTTTAAGTTGCTCGTCTGATTTAACATTTTGTTAAATATGCATTCTTTCTGATTTTGTTGCAGCCTTTTGTAATTTGGTTTAATATTATTATATATACTGCCAAAAGTTATTTCATGCCCTGTTCTTATTTTTCTCTAAACTGTTGCCACATTCAATTTGGTGATTTAACGTCATTTGTTTTTTTTGGTTGCTTCTGAGATCTTAATGGGAGGATTTTTGGAAGCTTTGAGCATTTATTTAGACATTAAATCTTTCAGGTTTTGAAGGGCTAGTTCTGCTGCTGTATTCGTCAACAGCTGGGTGCAATTCTCATCCAGCTTTAGTGCTGAAAGAGGTATGCTCTTCCTTTTGTTTTCTTCTCACAAGGACTTCGCCTCTGTTTCTGGCCACATGATTTGCCTTTTTTTCTTTCGGAATGCTGAAAGCTTGCTTGCTGTTCTAATATCTGTTTTAGAGTTTTCTAGTTCTTGTGCTTCTCATGCTTGTTGTGGTATTCATTAATTATACAGATTGCTTTTGCAGATTCATTCATGATTATTTTATAAACATGTGTTTAGAACATGTTGTGTATTGTGTTATGGTAATTAATGTCTACCGATATTTGATTCTATTATTATGGTAAATTCGTAATTACTATGGCCTTCCAACTGTGCTTGGTAGAATTTTAGTTTAGTTTGCAAGGTAATCTATACTTGATTTCAAATGTCTATATTGTGTTGTATGCTGTCTTGAAGATTGAAATCTTCAAATATAAAATATCTTTTGTTTTGACAAAGGTGGCAAGATAAAGGTGATTTTTTTTTCTTCTTCAAATTTAGTGGACTGGTCCTAATAACCCACACGGTATATTTGGGCGTTTATCTTTATGGGAATATATGTAATTATTCACTAATAAATGTTTTTACTTTGAACTGCGTTAATATGATTGCAGTGCTTGGTCTCTACAAGTAAGAAGCATGCCTCATAGAACCCGACCCATGACAGCATTCTTGCTGTTCACTTCGGTAAATGCAGTTTTATGTGCAACCATTACTCCAGTCTATGATTTTGTTTGCTTTCTTCCGTATTGGGAAAGAAGGGTGAGATATTTGCTCATTTATTTTTCTCTTTAATTATTTGGTGTTTTCTTCCTTCGATTCCCATCATGTGGTTCCTTATGTCCATGAAAATCATGAGATTTCCCTTGTTCAGCTGGAATACTGTTGTTATTTCCCTAATCTTCCATAGAGCATATCTCAATTTCATAAATTCTTGAACTTGGTTATTGAATATGACGACTTCTTTTATTTATTTTTTTTAATGTTAAACTTTCAACAAAAGAAAACACAAACACCAATAATCACCTAAAATCCTCTTATGGTGCACGTGAACTATGAGGAAATTATCAGTTGTGGACTTTCAAATTGTCTGTCTTTGGTAATCATATAGTAAAATTCCTTGTTAATGTCTTTTGATCTTGAAGGCAAGCCTTAATGCAAACTCTAAGGTTGTTGCCTTGTAACCTGAACATCACAGGTTCAAATACCACCCCAGGTCCCATTAGGTGGGAGAGTTTCCTGTGTTGCCCCCTTTTTAATGGCTTTTGATCCTGAATTGACCTTAATTATATATTGGATGTTTGTTTGTGATCTGTTTAACTAGTAGCTGAACAGAAGTAGATCACTCAGATTTCTCCTTTTAATTGCCTGCTGTTTTGAAAATATGCATTAGGATCAACAAATGTTTCTTTTTTGGAATCATATCATGGTTCAAACGAAGTGTGAACAAATGCCATCTAATCGTATGTAGTGAATAGTGATAGGTATGGGCCTAGTACATGCAGAAGTCAATGTGATTAAACTGGCAGAGAAGAATATAACTGTCACCATAACGACTTACGAGTATAGTGGTATTGTTTTGGTTAACCTACCTGCCGTTGGCTCTTTTCTAGAAAAAAGTTCTCTTTCTTGAAAATCTTGCTCATAATTTGAAAGTATATTAAATTTATAGTTGTAATGTCCTTATTCCATGTAGCCTATGGCCTATGTATGATAAGCATTCAAGTATTGGCCTTTTGGAAATGGGAAAATTCCTAAGTAATATAGTGTGTGGAATTTTATATAGATTTGCTTGGTGTTGACTAGTTTTGCAATTTTATTTGTTAATTTAGGCTATTTGGCTAATTCTTCATCCAATCTAATGTTACAGAGGGAAAGGCGTCGCCAGCAACGTGAAGGTACTACAGCTAACAGTTCCGCATAGCCATTGCAAGATCTACATGGAAAACCTTTTTGTGCTAGGATTTTTATTGCCCCTTTTTTCCCACATGATGTAAAATAATCATAGAATATTTTGGGATGAAAATATGAAAACTTGAACCTGCATGGCCTCTTTCGCTAGACATTGTTATGGGTAACCAAATATTCAATCATGTCAAATTTAGGTAGATTTCTTTTTTATTTATTTACTTGTTTGGCAATTGATTTGCATGAGTTAGTGTTGTCAGTTGATTTAAAATTCCAAGTTGGTAAACTTGAGTTATCACCTATAAGTGTTTTTTCTTGCAAGTTTTATGTATATAAGTGCAATTGCTACATGGTGGGCAAGGAATCCACACGAAATTATGATAACTTAAATTCACTTGCATGCCTTCTTTCTGTTTATCAGACAGTTTGTCACGATTTTTAAACGCAACATACCAAAAAAAGAGTTAAAATGTTTTTCTTAGGAATGGAGTTTCTTAATTGCTTTTCAAAAAAGGTTGATTCTCAGCCATTTATGTGTTTTAGTGCCACATGCCCAATAAAAATGCAAAGAAATAGAGATGTTCATTTCTATGTGAAATGGAGAGGATCTGGGCCTTTCTACATGTAAATGGTTAATATATCTTACTCTCTAAAATCCTAAATTATCCACTACTAAGTATACATTTTACGGTTAGTGTAATGAATGACATGACATATATAGTACCTGATTGCACGTAACGTTATATATAAAAAATAATATTATATATAGAGAGAGAAGAGAGGAATTTACTTAATAAGTTTTGAAACACTTATTTTATTTAATAATTAATTTCAAGCGTGTAGCAGTAGGGGTTAATTCACGCTTAAGTAAGGTCAGGGGTTTGAATCCTGCCTTGTGTATGCAGCCGTGTTAAATCTTGGGATCAGCTATCCCATCTTTTGAGGTGCCTCCAACGTAGCGAGGAGATTAGTCACTGCTGTCGGCGGTGGATACTCCAGGAACGAACAAATTTTTTTATTTATTTAATAATTATATTTTACATCAATTTTTCATGATTTAAAGTTCTTAATCAAATTTTTTAAAGAATTAAAAACTATTCATGATCCCTACCTAATAACGGGCATTTGAGGATTTGAGCTTAAACAAAATGATTCTTTCCATAACGTAGTCGAGAGGAGGATGTAAGAGTGGATCATAAAGGGAAAGCTTTAAGAGGGAGGGGGGCTTCATACTCTCAACCAAAAGGTAAATATTAGAAATCAAGTTAAAAGTGTTTGATAAATTTTAATGAATATAAGATTTGAGATTAGAATTTGAAGAGGTAAAGTTTTGAGAAATTTTTTTGAACGAAATTTGATGTTTTAATTGGTGAATTGAGTAGAAAAAGTTTGAAATAATTTAATCAATTAACTTTATAAAAATTGAGTAAATAAAATTATTAATTCGAGGAAATTAATTTTAAAAAAAGTTTGCTTAATTTTAAAAATAAAAGAAATTAATTGGTGACTACATATCCTCTAAAGTAAAATGGTAAAGTAACAACATAATCAATTCATATAATAGTTATACTATAGAACTTACCACACATAATCTTTTCTTTATATAAATTTATATTCTTTCTATTTTATTTAGGTAAAACATAACTCTAATTAATATTTTACTTTAAAAAATCAACATTCATTGTTTGAAATTTTAAATTTCAGTATTTTTTTAATCAAAACATAAAAAAATATTTGTGATACAAAATTGTCTTTATTATAAATGTAAATATTCTCTTTTTATTTTTTAAAATTTGTTATATATATATATAGAGAGACGCATCATATTCAGATTTTTTTTTGGTACAGGATCATATTCAGATTTTAAATTCAAATAGTTTTTTTTTCTTATTTTTTTAATTGAGTGTTAATACCTAAATATATTTACTTTACAATGACTTTAATATTTTTTTTTGTTTTAATTAAAAAACAGAATATTAAAATTTATAATTTTAAATAAAGAGTGTTAATCTTCTGAAATAAAATATTACAAAGTTCCTTAATCAAAGATTGAAATACATTTCTCACCTTAAGCATGGAGTCGCAAAAATAAAGTATACTTTAATTTTACAGACATGAAGAAAATAATTATATCTCCTTATAAAAAATATTATAAAGATATATTTTATACAAATAAATGAAAATAATATAAATTTATATAAACGAGGATTAGGTGTGATAAGTTTTATAGTGTAGCTATGATATGGACCAATTATGTTGTTATTTTACCATTTTATTTTAAAGGATATCACTCTTAATTGGTTAGAAACAAATTTTGGTATTATTTTAACACTAAGAAAATAAGGCTCTAAAACATAAACTAAATAGGCCTATACTCTAGGCCTGCTTTCAAGACATGGGGGCTAAGGGCCTTCGCTTTACGTGGTATCGAAATCAACGAGAGGTTATGCTGGCAAAACAGTTAGACCGTGCGGTGTGTAATGTCGAGTGGCAAGCAATGTTTCCGGAAGCATATGTTGAGAATCTGTGCCGGGTCTATTCTGATCATTGTCCACTTCTACTACGACGGGACGGCTCAAGAGATAAGTCTCCAGATCGACCCTTTCGGTTCCAAGCTGCATGGGCCACCCACAAAGATTTTGAGCGAGTTGTTAGGGAGGCGTGGTGTCGTAGCACACCGACCCTTGCTAATGGGCTACACGCTGTTCGAGTAGATGCCATCAAGTTTAACAAAGAGGTGTTTGGGAATATCCTTACGAGGAAGAAGGCTCTCCAACGTCATCTTAAAGGGGTACAACTACAACTAGAGAGAGGGGATTCAGAGAGCCTGTCGCGCTTGGAGAAGGCTATACAAATAGAGTTGGATGAAACTTGTCTTCAAGAGGAATATCTATGGCTTCAGAAATCTAGAGAGAAGTGGGTGAAGTTTGGGGACCGTAACACGTCATTCTTCCATGCCCAAACACTCGCGAGAAGACGAAGGAACAAAATACAGGGATTGTTTTTACCAGATGGAACATGGCATACAGACCCTGTGGTCATGAAAACTGAGGCAGTCAGGTTCTACAAGGAGCTTTTCTCGGCGGATGAAGATCAAGGGCCGCTAGACATGCATGCTGGGATTTCACCTGCCTTGGGAGTTGAGGCCCGATCTGCTTTAACTGCACCAGTCACGAAGGAGGAAGTTCGTCGGGCGGTGATGAGCATGAAATCTTTCAAGGCACCAGGGCCGGATGGGTTTCAACCGTTCTTTTTTAAGCAGTACTGGCCAATTGTGGGTGATGAATTATGGCGGACAGTGAGGGATGCCTTTCGGTTGGGGTACTCAGATTTATCACTCTTGGAGACACAAGTAGTGTTGATTCTGAAGGTGAACCACCCGGTTAGCCTTAAAGATTTTCGTCCTATTAGCTTATGCAACGTCGCCTGGAAAGTGATTTCTAAAGTGCTTGTAGCTCGTCTGCGACCGTTCTTGCAGGGCGTCATTGGTCCTTTCCAGGGTAGCTTTATCCCTGGGAGGGGGACTCGTGACCACAGTATTATTGCTCAGGAAGCCTTTCACTTCGTTCGGAAAGAAGGCTCAGGGGTGGGTTCCTTGGCCTTAAAAATCGACCTTGAAAAGGCATACGACAGGGTCAGGTGGGAGTTCTTGGAGTCTACGCTGGTGCAGTTTGGGTTTCCTACAATCATAATTCAACTTATCATGTGGGGGTTGAAGAATTCGTCAATCTCACTCCTTTGGAATGGAAGCACACTACCGTCCTTTGTCCCGTCTCGAGGACTTCGGCAGGGAGACCCACTATCTCCGTATTTGTTCATGTTTTGCATGGAGCACCTAGCCCTTAGGATATCTGAGTTGCTCCATGAGGGTCTTTGGAAACCGATTCAACTATCTCCTAGGGGGTTACCACTTTCACACCTCTTCTTTGCTGATGATATCTTACTGTTTTATCAAGCTTCAGAAGACCAAGCTCGTTTGGTGGCATCAATCTTGGAGGAGTTTTCGCATTTATCAGGCTTAAGAGTCAACTTGACTAAGTCCAAGTTTATGAGCTCTAGGAAAGTTTCACAGAGGAGGATTGATACGTTGGAAGAACTGCTAGGGATTGGCTACACGGCTCAGATCGGGAAGTATTTGGGTGTTCCCATGACTCATGGTCAGCCGAGGTGTGCAGATTTCTATGATGTGATGGATAAGATTCAGAGTAGACTTGCGGCTTGGAAGGCCAAGCTTCTTAATAAGGCAGGTAAGTTGTGTCTGGTAAAGTCCACCATCTCCTCTATTCCTGTATATAGCATGCAATCATTGTGGCTTCCCCAAGCAGTGTGTGATAGAATTGATCAGGCTTGCCGTCGTATGCTCTGGGCTAAGTCTGACAATACTCGGTTTTGGTCTCCAGTGAGTTGGGATGTTGTTACCCAACCTAAAGAGTTAGGTGGCCTTGGGTTAGGGAGGCACGCAGGGTGAATGTATCACTCCTTGGGAAGCTAATTTGGGATCTGCTTTCGGCTCCACAGAAGCCTTGGGTTCAACTCCTCAGCAACCTCTACCTACATGGAGACTCTATCCTGTGTGCTCATAACAAGCGGGGTGTTTCTTCAATCTGGTCGAGTATTATTAAGGCCCTTCCCTCACTCCGTGAGGGATTCAAGCCTCATCTAGGATCGGGCGCCTCATCACTTTGGTACAAGGACTGGTCAGGTAATGGGCTTTGGTGCGGGAAAGTCCCTTTTGTTCATATTGCGGACACCAATAAAAAGGTTGCCGACTGCTGGGTTAGTGGAGAATGGAGCTTCAATGCCTTGTATACGGTTCTTCCGACCGAACTAATAAACTCGGTCCAACAGCTGAGTGTTGGCAATTCCCCTTTGGGGTTGGACCACTTTGCTTGGAGGGGTGATATCTCGGGTTGCTACACAGCGGCATCTGGGTATCGTTTTCTAACTCCGGGGTTGGCAGCAGAGGGGGATGCAATTTGGAAGAAGCTTTGGAGGATCATGATTCCTGAGAAGGTTAAGTTCTTTCTATGGCAATGCCTTCATTCAGCCCTCCCAACTAATCAGGTTCGGGCTGATAGGAGGTTGGCAGAGTCAGGTGCATGCTCGCGATGCTCTTGCCCTCATGAGACTATTTTACATGCTCTTCGGGATTGCCCATATTCGCAAGAGGTGCTGATGTCTAGCGGGTGCAGTGTGAGGTGGTCCTTTTCTGTAATGGATTGTTTTCAGTGGCTGAAGGGGATTATCTTGCACAAGGATGCTATTACGCTATCCATCACCTTGTGGTGGGTCTGGCGTCTTAGGAATAACATGGTTT